TTTAAATCGGTCATGTAGGGGTCTTCTAAATCGGTCATGTAGGGGTCTTCTAAATCGGTCATCTAGGGGTCTGCTAAATCGGTCATCTAGGGGTCGTCTAAATCTGTCGGTCATCTAGGGGTCTTCTAAATCGGTCATCTAGGGGTAGCGGAGCTCAGCTATGAAATCATCGAAGCCATGATCCACCCCCATAACTGCGGAAGGGAATACAAAATCCAAGAAACAGAGAAGCAAAGGAGGGAGGCAGAGGAGGGAGGGGAGGGAGAGAGGGAGTGGGGGGAGGAGGGGAAAGAGAGAAAAAGAGAGAAAAAGAGAAAGAGAGAGAGAGAGAGAGAGAGAGAGAATGACAGAGGAAAGACGAGAGAGCTTCGGTTCAAATTTTTCCCCAACCGATAGCTGCTGAAAATGAGGGTGCTGGGAAAAAAAAAAAAAAAAAAGACAGACAAAAGAAAAAACAGATCACCCCCGTGGTCGGGCGAGTTACACCCCTGGCCCAACACCCAACGCATCGCCGTATATGGGTTTACTGTCTTCTCGCCCAAAATCAGATACCCCCCTTTTCTAAATCCCCCCCCCCCCCCCCCCTTTATCGTCGACCTACCCACCCCCAGATGATTCAAAATTTTCTCATTTCATTTCATTTCTGTTGCATTCCGATTAGAACACAGGTCCATACCTCTCACCAGATCATGGAATGATGGAGTGGTACCCCAACGTACCACCTGCCTGAGCTGGGGGGCTCGTTGGTACAGATCAATGGATGAACCTAGTCCGAATTCTAGCGTACGGGGGCTCGTTGGTACCACTGCTCACTGCTCACTGCTATATAACTAATTAGCAATTTAATTGCAGTTACGGCTACTATACTTAAAGAGTTAGGATTGCAGATTTTTCGACCGCCCTTTGCTACCTTCTTCCGCCGAACACAACGTATCCGGTCATTATAGCTGTATATCTAGACTGAAAGATGGCTCAAATACAGCAATAATGACCGTCCGTACGTTGAATTCGGGGGAAGAAGTTCGTCCTAGTAGTTCGAACTGCAAGTAGTGCTAATTAGGATTGCAGCGGCGTTGGTGTTGTGGAGCTCCTCCTCCTTTCTCCCATTCTCTAGGGTATCTATCTACCTTCTTCCCTCGAATACAACGTACGGACGGTCATTATTGCTGTACTTGGGGTATATCTTTCACACAGTCTAAATACAGCTGCTGTAATAATAACCATGCGTTCTATTCGGGGGAAGAAGGTAGTAGTTCGAATTGCCAAGTAGTGCTAATTAGGATTGCAGCGGGAAAAAAAAAAAAAAAGGATTGCAGCGAGTTGGTGTTGTGACTCCTCCTCCTCCTCCTCCTCCTCCTCCTCCTCCCTTTCTTTCTTTCTTTCTTTCCCCGAGTGGAACGTACGGTCATTATTGCTGTACTTGGGGGTATATCTTTCACACAGTCTAAATACAGCTGCTGTAATAATGACCATGCGTTCTATTCGGGCGCAGAAGGTAGTAGTTCGAACTGCCCAGTGCTAATTCGCATTTGGCGCCAAGGTGGTGGGGTGAGTCCCCTTTCCATCCATCATCAGTCAAATGCCTCCTGAACATAAGCTTCTGAAAGAAAAGAAAAAAAAAAAAAAAGGTGAGGAAAAAAAAAAAAAAAAAAAA